AATCGGTAACAACCAGTGGTGTCCGACAGGGATGTCCACTTTCCCCATTTCTGTTTAACTTCATCATAGATATGCTGATGGAAGTATCCTTAACTGAACGTAATGACTTAGGAATCGACTTGTTACCAGGGAATAGTCTTATGGACTTAGAATATGCAGATGACATAGTCCTGTTAGGGGAGGATTCTGACAAAATGCAGAGTCTTCTGAACACTTTGAGCAGCAATCTTCGTATGTTTGGCAGGCGATTCGCCCCTGCAAAATGTAAGATGCTGCTACAGGACTGGACCACGTCAACCCCTAACTTAGTGATAGGGAGTGAAGTGATAGAACATGTTGACCACTTCATATATTTGGGAAGTTGTATTAGCACCAACGGACTGATTGGCGATGAAATCTCAGCACGGATCCGAAAAGCTCGAGCTGCTTTCGCTGACTTACACCATCTCTGGCGTAGGCGTGACATCCGGTTATCAACCAAGGGACGTGTGTACTGCTCATCAGTTCGCTCCGTCCTTCTCTATGGCTCTGAAACATGGCCAATACGCGTTGAAGACATGAAAAGGTTGACTGCTTTCGATCATAGATGTCTGCGATCTCTGTCTCACGTTAGGTGGTTTCACAAGATAAGTAATGTTGACGTTAGGCGTAGAGTGTTGGGCAAAGAGGGAAAATCAATCGACGAGGTTATAAAGTTACATAGACTAAGATGGCTAGGTCACGTGGTGCGCATGCCTAACCACCGCCTCCCCCGACGGGCATTGTTAGCTGATATAGGTTCAGGTTGGAAAAGAGCCAGTGGTGGCCAAACAAAAACATGGCCTCATCAATCCATGAAATCCTTGACAGTTAAACTGAGTCAGGTAGGGAGATGCAGACTCCCGGGTTGGGGCCCTCGGGACTCTAGGAATCAATGGCTGGAGACAATAGGTGACATGGCTCAAAATCGTTGTCAATGGCGCAGATGTATTCAATCTCTGTAATCTTTCATATTCCTTTCTACCATTACCCATTCTGTTTCGCTCTTATACTTGTGACACTCTATTGATTCTCTTCACTCATCTTCTTGTCTACCTTTGTGTGCTATTTGGAGCGTGGCAACTATAACTGTTGCACTTCGGTGTCAGGTTCTGTGTTGAAACCAGACAGAGACAAATGCCACTGGGAGTGGCGTTATCGGTCTCTAAACGGTGCCATTTAGCTGATTCCCACCCTTGGAGATAAGAGGACGGATGGCTATCTTTTGATTCCAAGACAAGTTCCACGAATCCACTGAGTGTTGTAATAGGTCACATAAATGGCCCACAGAGAAGTTCAGTGCACTGTCTGAGGACAAATGGCCGTATGTCGTCACGAACTGTGGAGCATCCAGGTGTCAGTTCCTGCTAATCTTGCAGTACCGTTGTGGTCTTTTATTTGGAGGGTAGCCACTTTGTTTTCCCTTGGTAGAAAAACAATTAAGTCATTATGGTCTTTGTCGATAATACCCACGATTATACGTAGGCCATACACTGCATTTCAACCATTTCTAAACTACCGCGGTACTGAATTCTAGGACTTCCTCCAACACACTCTTTTTGGTCGAAAAAATCGTCGCATGCCTTTTGGGTTTGACAGGGGATTTTCCGGCTAGCTTTGTTCGAAGTCAGCTCCTGCCACTCCTGACCTTAATGCTTCATCGGTATGCCTAATTTTCTTCCCGAATCTTGAGGATTCACCATCTAGACACATTTTTCCAATTTGTTCGGAGGATACGCCGCATGCCACTCCTCAATCAAGTGGATCGCTTCCTAGGTTATACAGTGACTGAGGGGAGACTAGCAGAAACTGCTATATGAATGATATCTTTCACCATTTCCTAGTGTTCCTTTACTGATAGCTCAGACACGTCTATGTGCATTTTGGCGTGAGACAAAAGTCGTCGCATTTTGGTATGGCGGCCTTTGCTATAACACAAAGAGGGTGGCGTAGCATCCAGCTATGAGCCCCCACAAAGAACGAGACCAAACATCATGATCGCATCGTCACTGACACCTGGAGTTTTCATGATATCAGCTTTTTCGAACAGTAACTGGTCGCTAGTTAGGATATAGTCCTGTTTTGATGACTTTCAACTAGGGTCGCGCCTAGGGTCACCACCAGCGTTTTCAGGCAATCATGCATTTCCAATGGTTCCTTTCAGATTTTAACCAAATTCTTCCAAACCACGGTCGAAGGCTGAGGCAATGAAGTCTCTAGCTATAGTGATTTGGTAAAAGCCCAGATCTCATATGACTGTGGTGTGGCCCAGCAGTAACTGGTTGTGTTTTCCTTATAATCCTTGTCGCGCCATATCATTACTGGCGATTTTTTGTTGGCGAAAGCAAGGGTTAGCTGGGTTTATTATTTTGAGGTGTAGATATGACTTAAATTTCCGAGTTAATCCGGTTTCTCCCTCAGCCCACTTACATTGCTATATAGGTAGTTGACAGTGAGTCCCTTCACCTTACCGTGTCGTGGAGTGATTAACAGTGCATTGGCTCTTGGTTGAAGAATTAATATCGGAACTAATTGGCTAATTCCGATCCAAACTTAGATTCAGATTTTGGTTGAAGACGAGGGCTTCGTGTCTCTATTAATCCTTCTCTAATAAGAATCTTTTGGTGTTTAATACATTATTCAAGGATGAGACTGACGGCGCAAACACCATTTCTTCTAGGAGTTCATTACAAGAGTTAATGACCAGTAGGAAGAGGCAGAACTCGACGTTGCTGCTCCCAGTGAATCATTCGAGGTATAAGCATAAAACTTGGGATTTGTGGTAGAGTATAACTCCATTATGGAAAAGATTTTATTTTGATAATCACACAGTGTTGTACAGTTATATGAACTGATGACGTTTCGAGCACAAACTATTGCTCATAATTATATCAAGTAACTCACAACTTTTTTCTTTCATTTGTGTTTATGTGTGGAATCGATTAGATATTCATTTGAGGTGCCCGGAGTATCTAGAGAAGAAAAGAGAAGACTAATCACTTCCAGAAACACTTCTTAGAATTTAGAAAATACTGACTAAATCACATTACTGCCTGCAGTCTAGTAAGTTGTAGGGGCTAAACTGCCAAGCTATTCCTCTAACGGTCACACCTGCAAATTTTCTATATGCCATTACCAGAGTATATAAGTTCGTCACCAGATAAGTGCTGGCTATCTGAATAAAAATTTCTATTTTCGATTACACCAGAGATAGAGTATAAAGGTGGACATGCCGCGATGGGATGCGACGAAGAACTTAAGTGTCTCCAGTAGTAATATAAAGCCAATAGCTGTCATTAAACTGTAATGTAGCCTCATTTTTAGGTTGTGACTTTCGATGACACCTAAATTCATGTGAATCCGAACTGAGAGGAGTGACAGTCCCTCTATGTCATATGCTCTGCTACTGACGTGTCCGATGAGACTGCACGCCTCGCGACATTGAGGTATTTTAGAAACTAAAACTCTTATCTACCGAAGAGTTATTGGAATTGTAGAATAAGAGGCACTGGCACTCCAACTTCCAGTCTCCTGACTATAGTAGGAATTCGTCTGTCTTGTGATTTGGACTACGATATATTACGATCAAACATATTGTTATTTGCACTGAAGTCTCACGATCCACTTTCGTGTAATGTTTTTCGCGTTTCATATAACTTTCCGTTAAAAACGGTTTATTATTTCTGAATTAAAAAGTGTTTGGTAGAAGAACAATTAGCTGCTGTCTATAATTAACAGTTGTTGTGCAATGACATCTACTACGGATCTGGATATTTGTTGAAATTCCTAAAGTATGTCTTTGATCGGTAATGTGTAAATTATAACAAACACAGAAGTGGTTCATAGTGATGAATTTTGGCTTATATGCACTGGTTAGTGTATGTAAAATCTGAAGTGTGACATTCTAATTTTTTCAGTGATATCTGATTTTTCCTACCCAGCATTACTATCAGTACAATTAACTACTAATACTAATAATAAAGCATTATTTTGGATAATATATGAATATATAGTTCAGAAATTTTCAACGCATCTAGTTCCGAAAATATATTTTCTTTTCGTACTAGATTTTCATTTAAATCAATAATCTGAAGTGTATCACCCAAACAAAGGTATTATGCCATTGAGTAGGTATAGGCTCCCACGTGGAAATCCCAGAAGGATAGGTCACCAGAGGACAAGGACCCGGCTGCGCTCCCACTTCTTTTCACTGCAGGTTTGCCGTCCCTGGAATTCCTTACCGGCAGATGTAGCTATGGCACCGTCTTTGGACTCCTTCAAGCGAAGGCTGGACAACCATGCAGCGACACAAGGACTGCATCCAAATGCCCAATCCGCTCAAAATCGCATACATCATTCAGAGGTAGACAGTTAAACTCGTCGTTTTACTTCTTTACATTCTCTCCCGTCTAACTCTCCTGACAACTTATTAATATTATAATTATTATTACTATTATGATTATTACCGATATATATACATATATATGTTATTCTTCAAACTTAATTTTCTGACTCTTGTTACGAGTTCCTATTTCCGTTTCTGTCTATTAGTCTGAATAACTTCACTAATTATATCTATTATTAGCATTATTATTATTACTATCTCTTTTCTCTTGTCGACGATACCGGAGGACTAACTGGCGAAAGGATCAACTCCATTCACAGTAGTAACAGTCTTAACACACCTCATACTACATAATTAATCCCAGCACTACTCCCTTTGGAGTCGAGTGGCGGGACGAGCTACGCAGAAGTTTACCGAGGATCAGGAACCCATACTTTACAATCAAGAAGCGAACACAAAGAAATCAAATTGGTTTATACTAGCTTGTAAAAGATGATATTGGATATATTGGATATCACCTAATTCCAACATCAGATATGTTAAATCAAAGATCCTTCAGTCTTGTAATAGCAAGATCTGAGGATTGAAATTTGAAACCTGTGCAAATAACGGTTTTATGTACTACTGAAATTCTAACAACATTTCGAAAGCTGCGCTACTTCAGAATGCAAGACTGTGGTTCTGTCTTTGTTGTCCCAGGTATTTTTTGTCGAATATCTGACACCATTAAACAGATGGTGTCATCAGTTGTCCTTCAAAGTGTTCTCTAGTCAAACTAAACCATCCAAGATCAGGTATTTTGACTTCTGTTGGTTTGATTTAATCAATTCTTCGTAGACATACCATGCCTATTTCTATGGAATAGTCAATCTTCTCAGCTTTTTGAAATACAGAGCGCAACTGAAAAATGTCGTTCATGGCTAGTCGGTGGATATATTAAGACTGGTATGGATATTTATCTTGAACATGTGTTTAAATCATACATATGTAGATGGTGTGATGTATCTTTGCAGTCGGATCGATCCACTTTTCTTCTGCATATCACTCTGCAAAAAACAGGTTTGTTTTTGGTGATAAACGCTGAACACTGTAGACTAAATTTGTTTCATGGCATTCATTGCTTAGCGAGGCTGGTGATAATTACTCTATACTTGGCAGTATTGCCAACCTGGAGAGTCGGTTGGAAGAAATTTGTGAGAAGAAATGTAAGCTGTACTTATGATGGATAAAATGACGTTTTTTTGCGTTTCTGAAACGAAGTAATGTGGACATTATATATCTTAAATTTGTATATCTTTTTCGATATAAGTATAAAACTTGGGCACTGTGGTAGAGTATAATTCCATTATAGATAAGATTTTATTTTGATAAATCGCACAGTGTTTACAGTCATATGAACTGATGACGTTTCGAGCACAAACTATTGCTCATAATCATATCAAATTGGGGAAGTTGGTTTTGAGCAAACAACCATGAATTGATCGTTCAATCTTCAACTACATTGACACATGTATATAAGTGAAAGAAAAAAGTTGTGTGAGTAACTTGATATGATTATGAGCAATAGTTTGTGCTCGAAACGTCATCAGTTCATATAACTGTACAACACTGTGCGATTTATCAAAATAAAATCTTATCTATAATGGAATTATATCTTTTTCGTTTCTTTTTTGTCTGTTTATGGATGAAGTCAGTTTTAATGATTGTGTGAAATATTTTACTAGTAAATTTCAACTTAGCTCTAATTAGTAATTATGAGTTCATTTGTGAACTTAGTGAAAACTTGTTTTCTCCATACTAGGTAAGTTTATTCGGTTAAACAGAGCAATACTTCGGATATTAGATTTATTGGTTAAGGATAGAAGGCTTGGAGCCTATGTTAATCCTTTTCCAGTAAATTTCCGTGGTAGCCCAAACTGTTTTTGAATGAATCAGTTGAAGTTGCAGATATCACTATTCCTGGGAGTCGGTTCCAAGAGTTGATGTCTCGGCATGAGAGCCAGTACTTACTTTACTTTACTTCGGCTATGTCCTACGGGAGGATGAGCCGGCTTCATGAACAAGAGTTCATGAAGTTTCATGGGAATTAGGTACGAGTGATGTCCCCAGTATCGCTCGGCCTTTTGTTTGAGAGTGCAGCTCTAGCCTTTACACAACCAAGTGTGACCTACAAGGCAGTAGGAGTGAAGTGGAGACTCCACTATCCATTGGCAGCCGGTGACCGGAGTCCGGTTCATACGCCTTTTTGAATGGGGTCAGACATCCAGGGCATCCAATAAGCCCTTTGTCTATACGTCTGTCGGTGAGCTCCGGTGAGCTTCATACGCCAGTCGTTGGAGGTTTGGAATCAGGGTTTAGCCACCTCCCCTAGACTGTCATCCAATGGACAGTCAACCCGGTGAAGAGCGCCGGGCATCCGCTTTTGACCTCTCACTTCGGTGAAAAACACCCCCGCCACGTGAAGGCAGTGAGTAGTACTTCCTCAGGAGAGGCTATGTAAGACGCCCGGTCATATGGGAGCATTTCAAGAGGTGTGCGGAGGGGTGGCTAACCCGCAGCGCAAGGCACCCACCCCCGATCATCCTGAGGCTTTGGAGGCAGGTTTATGATTCCATAGTTAGTGTGTAGAAAAGTGAGAATGCAGATATTTGGATGGTTTCTGCAGGGTGATAAATGTTTACTTGCTCAATTGATTTGTTCGAATAACTTATCGCCAAATAAGTCTTCATGAAATCTGGTGAAAATAGTTAGTTAGTTAGTTTTCACACAATAAAGGTTTATGTTAATATATCTCTGATGAGTTTACACGTTACAATTTTTACCAAATATATTAAGTATTTTTTTAAAGCTATAGTCAGCAGTATTTTATTTGAATCCAAATAATTAGTAGCAGCCTGATTTATGAGAAATGTAATAAGCTTTATACCCAATAAAGAATATTACTCCATAAAACGTCCATTAAGAAGAAGAATACAGGTTCTCCAGGACTAGGTTTTCTTGAATGTCAAATTTGTTGATGAATATTCAAAACAGACTGACTGACTGGTTTCCATATAGAACTGTGCACAGATGTGCACCAGTTCAACTTGCTGCTCTCCTTCTATGTACCACACAAAGCCACAGAAAAGAGTAAACACAGATTCAGAAGACACACAATAAACACAACTGTGGTTGAGGGAAAAAGAATAGTAATAATATGGAAGAACAATACGGTTTTTAAGATATGACAAATCACAAAGAGTGAATGCATCGGCGTCAGCCAATGAGAACGATAATTTTGAGCCCTATCATCGATCGTCTCCAGCCTTAACTTGTTCTTACCATCCCGAGGACCTCAACCAGCCAGACTAGCAGTCTACATCTCCCTGCGTGAATGGCTGGCTAGTTGGCTTAAGCTAACTCTTATGGAATTCACTGAATCATGTATCTACATTTTCGTTTGACCACCACTAGCTCTTTTCCAACGTCATCGATCCTATACTAGCTAATACTGCCTGTTTTCGAGGAAGGCGAAGTTTAGGCGTGAGTAACACACGTTCTAACCGTCTTATATGATATAGGTGCGCAACCTCATCATGATGGACTTAACCCTAACTCACTTCAGCGACACAGGGATTGACTTGGTACCAGGCAAACATCTTGTTGACTTACAATATCCAGACGATATAGTCCTTCTAGGCGAGGACGCTGACAAAATTCAGAGTCTTCTAAACACCTTAAGCTGCAATCTACGAATGTTTGGCATGCGATTCGCTCCCGCCAGATGCAAGATGATGTTACGGGACTGGACCACACTGACTCCTAGTTTAGAAATATGGAATGAAGTAGTAGAGCACGTTGACCTCTTCACTTATTTGGGAAGTACCATAAGCTAGTGTCAACAGGTTGATCTCTGACGAAATCTCAGCACGGATACAGAGGGCTAGTTTCGCATATGCCAGTTTACGCCGTCTCTGGCGTAGATGAGATATTCGACTATCCATCAAAGGGCGGGTGTACTGCTCATCAGTCCGCTCCGTCCTCCTTTATGGCCAGCTGTGAGACCTGGCCATTGAGAGTGGAAAACATGAAAAGACTAGCTGTCTTTGATCATAGGTGGCTGCGTTCTATCTCCTGTGTGAAGGGGTATAATAAGGTGAGCAATATTGAGGTTAGGCTTCGGTCGAGTTCTAGGTAAGGATGGGAAATCAATCGACAAGGCTGTGAAGCTACATCGACTGAGATGGTTAGGACATGTGTTACTTATGCGTGGCCTAATCATCGCCTTCCTCGACTGACGAGCAATGTTAGCTGACATAGGGTCAGGCTGGAAAAGAGCTAGTAGCGTTCAAACCAAAACATGACACCAGTCAATGAAATCCACAACACTTAGTCTAAACCACGTAGGAAGAGGTAGACTTCTGTCTGGTTGGGGTCCTCGGGACGGTAAAAAACAGTGGTTGGAAACAATTGGGGACATGGCTCAACGTTATCGTTCTAGGTGATGGCGCAGATGCATCCACTCCTTGTGACTTATGATTTCTAATGGAACTATATTGTTCTTCGTTATTACCATTGCTTTGTCTCACACCTCTGTTTACTGTCCCTATTATGCATTTCTTGTACTTTCTTCTCTTGCTTTGTGTGCTACATGGGGGGAGTGTGGCGCACATCGGTGCAAAGTTCTATGTCGAAAACAGACAGATAGACAGACCTCATCGATTGATTTTCCTTGCTTACATAGCACTCGACCGACATCTGACCTCAGTATTACTTATCCTATTATTACACCTACCATGTACCACTGAAGATGGAGCTCAGACACGTATGATCGAAGACAGCTATCCTCTCCATTCAGAAGAGATACCGAATACTTTTGGTAATCATATATATATATATATATATATATATGCATGATATGAAGTGACTTTTGGTCTGATATAAATCAAACGGCTAGTGGAAAAGCCAAGAGGCAGAGAAGTGTATTCACATAGCTCTAACAGTCTAAATAATAGTTATCACCAATCAACACTCCTGTCTTGTTTTGTAGTCTTAATTCTTAACTCACAACTTTTGGAAGGCGTAGTAAAAGCTTATCGACCAAATGTAAGACATAGGAGGAAAGTAGAAAACTGAATGTTATTGCTTTTAATGTCCAGTAAGTGTGTAATTTAAGCTAACTCGGATTACCCTACGAATAATGCGGTTAATTTATTACCTGAAGTGTAAATTCCCTATAATATGTATCGATCTAAACAATTAAATTTTATGGTCAAATCCTGTGTAACCTAATTCCTTACTTTCTACAAAGGTGTTGGTAGCCTCTCTGTTTATCGTTACGACGAATCTCGAACATTGAAATGGCTATCTAGCAGAGTATCCGATGTTTGTCAGGCTGCCCTTCAATCGACAAATCCCGTTCTTAATTCTCAGCTTCGGTTAATTATTTCCAGTTCTTCTTCTGATGGCAGTAAAGGCGGAAGTGAAGATTCACGAGTTCCAGAATTTACATCCAGTAAGATTATTGATGAAATATTTTAGCTTTTTAAATTTGTGTAATTATTTTAAACTTTAATTTAACAAAGAGTCGCTGATTTATAGTTATTTACTAAGAGCATCGTCTGTAATAGTTGAAGAGAGAGACCTAATAATAAGGTCTTTATCAAATGTCTTCATTACTGTAGTTTTAAACTAAAAGCTGTTACCCTCTTCGCATTAAAGGGATGAATGCAGTAACAGACCATGTGAGTGACAATTATTTAAAAGGTACAAATTAATGCTAATTTATCTTCGAGGTGAACACGGATTTAGGTTTCGCATTTGAAAATATGACCCAGTGACTAACTTTTCAACGTAAAACTTTACACAGAAGCTCAAGTTGACACATTTCGTATAAAACGCAAAGGAATGGGAAAAAATTCAGAGGAGTCATAATCAATGAAAGTGGGCGGGATATAGAATAACTATTGCATAAAGAATCATGAGAATTTAATGAATCTTGGAGATAATGAAGAGTGATTACGTCTGCGCCATTTGGGATGATTTTGAATTGTATCACCGTATCAATCCCTTGAATCTGAACATCTTGAGGAGCCTAACCAGATAGTCTACGCGCGTTTATGTGTCTAAAACCAAAGGTTAAAGATTTTGTAGGTGTTTTGATTTTTATCACCTCTAAATGTTCTCCAACGTGATCTTACTTCAGCTGAAATTAGTTGACGAGGAAGAAGATGGCTTACCGACAGACAACTGCTACCTTGCCGTGGTGGTCGGGCTTGAATACCGCAGTGACCCAACAAGCTAAACTGGCTGGGACTCATGTCCCTGCAGGTCCTACCATGTCAGGAAGGTTGTTTGGATAGTGGTTAGACTAAAAGCAGTTACCATGGGGTACATGGGCTCCAGAATCCGATCGGATCAAATTGCGTATGAACTCATATGGGTCACCGGCAACCATGGGAATGCAGCTGCTGACGCTGCTCCGCTGCCTTTTGGATTAGACTCCAAGTCAAAGGCCCGGGCAGTATCTCGGCCCTCACACAATTATTGTGTGGCTCATCTTTCTTGGTGCCATATTGTACCAAGTATTTTTCTGTGTTTAAATAAATAAATAAGAAGATGGTTTAGCTTGTCTAACTTCTCCCGTTGCCATCTCAATCCGTACAGATTCTCAACTTCATTGGTTGATTTTGTCCCCTTGCCTAACATTACGCTCAACCTCACCATTACGTACCATATTATACCGCTTAACACAGAAGTCAAAATGCAATCACTTGTGATCAAAAAAGTTGGTCTCTTCACGTCTTCTGCTTTTAATGGCCATGTGTCTCAGCTATGAAGAAGGACAAAGTAAACTTCTGCACAGAACACATGTCTTTCGGTCGGTATCCGAATAATGCGTTTTAATTAGAGACGACGTAACTTGGCGAATGTCACATGAGTCTCTTATCTCTGTGCTAAGATTTTGTCAGCAACCATTCCATTTCTCTCTAATGCGACTCCCCCAAATAAGTGGAGTATTCAATACGCTAAACCATTTCTTTGGTTATCTTTAAATTAGGAGTCGTTGCAGACCAGGCTAGTATAAAACAATGCAAAATCTAGTTTATCTCTCACTCCGGTAACCGGTAAACAAGTAGGGCAGTTTAAAGTACGGGAGGAATTCTGTCATAACTCCATGGATTTTAAATCACCAGTATTTTTTTCCCGGTTGTAAGTAGTTCGCGTTACGAGATATTTTGCCTTCACTTTCCTTTTCCAGCTCTAATCCATATGCCGATTTATTGTACATAGTCTGGTAAATTCTGACCCTTTAATAAATCATGTAGCATGATGCCATTGCCAACTTGTCCAACAGGGGGTGATAAATAACATTTGGTGTTTCCGCGGAAACACTATACCACCTTGCCTTCACAGTCTCCCAACCGTAGACTGTATACCCCGTAGAGTCGGGAATAAGCCTTCTTGGGGTGTACGAAATGGAATGAGACAGTTGTTCAGTGTTACGTTTGACATCCTATGACTGATATCATTTTGTGAGGAGAGGTATTCTGAAATCAGTCAGTTACCCATAGCTTTATCTGCTACCCTGGCGATAAGTTTTTTAGGACTATGGTAAGTTTCCAACTCCACAAAATGTTACTTCCCAGAACGCTACTGTTTTTATTTCTTATTTGTTACATATGTCTAGGTTCTGAAGAGGCTCAGTTGTTGTCAGTTAGTCAACTACCTCAACAGTTGTGTTTAGAGCTAGCTTACCAGTTAGTGGCTGATTATCTTACTCCGGACTTATCAAAAAAGCTACGAGAAAAGATTGGTTTGAAGACTTCAGAAGATACTCCATCAGAGATAAACACTTCTGCAGCAGTAGATTCTGAGAATATAGATCCTGCCGATGAGCTGCACCAAAAGTCGCAAAATGTAAGTAATAAGTAAATTGGTAACTATTTCTTTCTCATTTTATTATATATTCTTGTAAAATATCACTTATAGATGAACTTAAGAACAATACTATTTTCTGGTAGCCTTACATTTATTATACTGTGAACTATACCTAGCGTCGATCAAGAGGTCATTTGGAAACTACTTCTCTACTACGGGGTGCCATCAACAATTATACATCTCATCCAACAGTTATACGACAATGCTGCATACCAAGTAATCCACGGATGCCTTCGAAGTGAAGACGGGAGTGAGGCAAGCTGGCTGTCTACTATCGACAATGATCTTCCTGATTGCAGTAGATTGGATAATGAGACAGACAACGGCGGGCAATGAGGAAACAGGCATAAAATGGACTCACACAAAAAGAAACTTGGAGGATCTGGACTTCGCCGATGATATATGTCTGATTTCCCACAAACTGGAAGATATGCAAGTAAGTGATTAGCAACAAGTTGGCACAAGAAGCATCCGGAGAAGATAGGACTTTCTTCAGATGAACATAGATAAAACAGAGGTGATGAAGATTCCTGGCCAACACCAATAGCAACAACAACAGACAACAACCAGCCAGCATAAATGGGAGGAACCTGAAAGAAACAACCTCCACCTACTAACTACCTGGGAAGCATCGTTTCAACTACAGGCTGACGGAACTGACGAGGATATCAAAGCGAGAATCGGAAAAGCAAGACAAGCTTGCTTTGTTACCGGAAGGTCCTAGGTTCGAACTCTGGTAGTGAGTGCGTACTGCCGACGATTCCTAGACTGTCCAATACTCCAGTGCTGATTTTAAATGGTTCTCTAACTTTTATCAATCCGTGATCAACTCGTAAAAACAAAACTAATCCTTACAAACCAACTCTTAAAGACTATGTAATAAAGAAATACAGATGGAGTCAGAAAAAATAATAAAAAAATAATTTGGACAATTACAATTTTTAAAAGACTGCATAGGGTTAGGGCAAAATAGTCAGGATTTCACATCCATATATCAATAGTGTCAAGGTAAGGAATGTGGCTGTCCGAATTCCTTCTGAACACGCAGGTTTGGCTTTTTCAAGTGGGTTCCGATAGCTTCAGTTCTATCTAGAAGACAAACTCGTGAAGCAAAGCTGAAATTAGTTGAAATGAGACAAATAACTTTAAAATTATCGTGTTAACGTCAACTTTATGCCCCCTGTCTTTGAGGTGTGTTAAAACAACAGAGCTACAAAAATAGATCCTGTTTATCTCTTGCTTAATTGTACCCCTAATGTAGGTATCTTTGCAGAAGCAGTCGAACTGGTGGTAGATACATTCAAAGGAGGCGAAGTTTAATGATTTATTCTTATGAAAGACCTTTATGTAATAGGAATATAATTGTAGAACTTAAAGAGAGAATGTTATCCAAAAGAAATATTCTCTCTCCAATAATCTGTGGTTTTAAGAATAAAATACATTACACGTTACTTCAGTGAATCCTTTTGTCTTATAATTTTGCTTTATAATTTTCTGTTAGAATTCTATTTATTTGCTTAAAAATGTTCAGATCGATTTGTTGGACAAAATGGTGAAATTGTTTATTTCAATTTTATCTAAGATTCATACAATTATAATATTTACATGTGTCTAATTTTTATTTGGCACATGATGTATGTGGAACAATCCGGTCGGATCTTGATCATAATTCGTATAAACTCTTAAATACTCATCTGTACAAATAGATGAGATAAGCTTTGATTAGAGACTAGTTAGTAACTATTGTAATGTGTATACAATTGGTGGATGGTGGCTAGCAGTGGAATCCAGGATGCGCATTTCGTCCTATTTGGGACTCGTCAGCTGGATGTACCTGCATTTCTCAGTGAGTGATGACGTTCCCACCGAAGCTCGAACCCAGTACCCATAGTTTCAAACGCCAAAGCGTTATCCACTAGACCACTTGGGCCACGAGAACCACCTCTTGTGCAACGGGTCATATTAATTACTGAATTGAATTTTTGATTTTCCCGTCGATTGTTTGGACCGAAGTGCTCGGTCTCAGGTTGACATGTCGGCTCAGACATCGTCGAAGCATCTGCACAAGAAGCCGACATGTCAACCTGAGACCGAGCACTTCGGTCCAAACAATCGACGGGAAAATCAAAAATTCAATTCAGTAATTGTTTTGTGTGTCTAGTCTTTTCTTTGGTGTAGACTGAATTCTGTCGTCAGTCAAGTTTGCAATTTGGCCACCATTCTAGATGGCTCGCCATCACGGTGCACTGTAAATTGTTGATATTGGATGGTTTAAAGCAGTCGGTCACAGGAAGGCGCTTACTTGATGTACGTTTCTTGCTAGTTGATACTCACCAGTCAGTCAATCAGTAAGGCGTACCTGCAACCTTTAAAGTAACCCATATCCTTCTGAAACTCGAAGCCGAATCACTCAGTGGTGCAGTAGAGACGTTTTCACTGAGTTATTCGGACTTCGGATTAACCTCTTGTTGGATTGTTACGCAAGTTCGAATCTCAGAAGGGACATGAGTTCTCCTTCAAGGTTGTAAATACGCCTTACTGATGAGTGCTTGCTAGCACGAATCCTAGGTGTCAAGCAAAGCCGGCTGACGTTTGCCACCAACAATCTCAGATGAGACACAAGCTATAATGCCTCCATACCCTGTGGATTTGTAGCTCATGGTGTAGGCGTTTGATTTCCAACAACTGAAACGCTAGTTAGAAAGTCCATTCCACTAATTGATGTTTGGCTAGCCAGGTAATGTCACTAACGTTCACACAAAAGTTAAGGTAGGTTGGCTCATTGTCCACATCATGGAGATTAGAATAGTTGTTGAGTAACATTTAGCTTCTCTGTTTTTCGATAGCTGCACAAAAATTACCTTCTATTCAAGTATTGGTTACAGGATTTCATCATGAACTGACATTGGTTATAGAACAATTGGGAAACCTGGGAGTACTGGACAGCCGTTTCGTCCTAGTTTTGGGCTCTTCAACAGTCTGCACCCACCACAGGGGTTCAAACTCAGGACTTCTGGTTACAAGACCAGCGATCATCCACTGGGACCTGATCCAATGGCTCATGAATTCTAACTTCTGCCAATTCACTACACGACACGACCGCTAGACCAATGTCTTCAGCGACTAGCAGATCGGGTGTGGGGACAAATACTCGCCGAAGACATCGGTTAGCGGTCGCGCCATGTCGTGAACTGGTAGAAGTTAGAATTCATAGGCCATTGGATTGGGTCCCAGTGGCTGAATGGTGTACGAGCTCCCTGGTCTTGTAACCAGAAGTCTTGAGTTTGAATCTCTGTGATGGGTGCGTGCTGCTGAAAGTCCAAACTAGAACGAAACAACAGTCCAGTACTCCCAGGTTTTCTAGTGCTTCTGTAACCAATGTCAGTTCATGATGAAATCCTGTAACCAATTACCTTCTAATTTCATACGTTCATTTGTTTTGTTGTATTATACACACACATACATATGCACACAATGAGTATATATGCTTAAATTCTTTTTCAACTATATTAGTCAAAGAATTGTCAACCTAAAGAAGACTATTCATCTGTTTTAAAGTTGAAAGAATCGAAGACTAACGAGGTATGTCCTCTTTTTTAAAGTAAACGATTTTTCTCTTTTATTTTTATACAACTGGAAAAATATGCGATGTGCAGTCATTCGAATGTTTAATCATCCTACAAGTCAGATGATTCACCTTACTCAATCTTTGTCTTTTTTAATAGAATCAACCCTAATTTTAAATTCAGTGACTTAGAGATTGACTTGTTACCAGGGGACAGTTTTGCTCAGCTAGAGTATGCGGATGATGATGAAGGTGAAGACGCTGACAAAATGCAGATTCTTCAGAACACCTTGTTCAGAAATATTTGAATGTTTGCTATGTGATTCACTCGTGTTAAATGTAAGATGGTACTACTACAAGATCGGATTGCATCGATTCCTAGCTTAAAGATAGAAGTCAAGTGATAGAGCTTGCTGACTACTTCACTTATTTGGGCGGGAAGTTGCATCAGCCCCAGCGAGTTGATTGCTGACGTAACCCCAGCACCGACAGAGAAGTCTTATTTGGCCAAATGACATCATATCTGGCATAAACGTGGTATGCGACTCGCGATCGATCAAAGGATGTGTATACAACTTAGATAAGGAGGGAAAGTCAATTGATACATCTTCACTATGGAGCCAGCTGTTGATAAAAGTCTGTGGCTGGCTATTGGAAATCCTTTACGTGACACGCTAATCAAGCTTCTAACTCGTATAGAAAGAAGCACTGACTAAATTAACATTTATGCTGTAAATGTCAATCTTGTTCTTTATGCTGGTTGAGTGCAAAAAATTTCCAAACTGGTTTCAGATTGATGAAGCCGTATCTAGAGCTCTGGTCACAGGCATACATAATTTATTCAATGAAGACCCCCTATCTCATCGACTAATGTACTCTCATGAATATAACAACAAACATTTCAACGAAGAGTCTGTTTTCGGCGAATCCACTGAAAAGTGGTCAGTTATGATGACGGTAAATGTTTGTCGTTGGTTAGTGAATGAAACTCACTCATTTAGGATACGAAGCGTCGTAAATTAGGAAAAATGATAGGTTGTGACCAGTGGGGTTCACCACCAGGTCGGGAGTGAGAACAAATACTCGCCGGTGACATTGGCTGGTGTTCGTGCGAAAATTACGAACTGGTAGAAGTTAGGATTCATTTTTGATGATCATATTGCAGATAACTAATCTTAATTTTTTATTTTATTTTCTTTCTATTGATTTGATTCGATTTGATCTGATCTGATATGATTTTTTTAGCCAATATCAAAGAAGGCGAAAATACCAAAGGGTGTACAGTCGATTACCAGCTTTTTTAGGAAAAAATAACCCAATCTGTACAATTTTTATATGGAGCAAATGTCCTGCCTTTCTGTTATAAATGTATGATATGTTACTTACTATTACTGTTTTTATGCATGTGTGTATATATGTGTATATGTGGGTGTATATTTCTGTATTTTATACATTCTCAGACAAATATGATCTCATATTGTGAATGAAATTAAACTGGATAATTCTATTTTTTTATAAAGAGAAATACAACAGATTATGCTTCACTGAACTGACATTTAGATGTTCTGTTTCATTTTTCACGAAGTTCAAGTCATTTGCTTGTTCATTTTATGATACAGTTCAAATGTGAAGCTTATTTGAGGTATCGCATAATGTCGTGTAGCTTATCCGTCAGTGGTACAGCGTTAGAATGCTCACCAACCATGCACGTGGTTTGGGGTTCGATCCTTGGCCGCCAACGCACTCTTTTACCTCACTAAGACTAAGGTATTAAGCAGCGTTTGGGAATCAGAGGAAGTCGCATCGGGTTGCTGTAAGTCATTGGTTATCCAGATATATAAGAAGGGAAACAAGTCTTTCTGTGATAATCACAGGGGGGATTAGCTTGACAAATATGGTATCTAAAGTTCTAAGTTTAATAATCATGCGTAAACTAAGCGGTTCTCGGGAGGAACGAACACAAGAGAACCAGGCAGGCTTTAGATTCGGAAGAGGGTATATTGATCATATCTTCATCCGTCGACGAATTCTGATACATATGCATACTTACCGTCAGTGTCTAACAATCGTCGTATTTCTTGACCTACCAGCGGCATTCGATTCCGTCTACTGGCAGGTACTATGACGATGTTTGGCTGTGAAAGGAATACCTGGAAAATACATTGCACTGATGAAGGCACTCACTCTACTCGAACTCATGCAATCAGCCAGATGGGAGCTTACAGCGTGTTGTCATCTGAATTGGTGACGACTAGTGGTGTCCGTCAGGGATGCCAACTATCCCCATTTCTATTCAATTTCATCATAGATTTACTAATGGACTTAGTCCTAACTGACTTCAATGAGTCAGGGATTGACTTGTTACCACCAGGTAATAGTAGTCTCGTTGATTTAGAATATGCAGATGATATAGTCCTTTAAGTGGAGATGCTGACAAAATAGAGCAGAGTCTTCTGGACACCTTGAGTTGCAATCTTCGAATGTTTGGCATGTAATTCGGTCCCGCCAAATATATATATAAGATGACTAGGCTACAGAAGTGGACTTCATTAACTCCTAGTTTAGAAATAGGGAGTGAAGTGGTAAAGCGTGTTGAGCACTTCATTTATTTTGGAATTTGCATCAGCCGGTCCCAGAGAGTTGATCGTTGACGAAATCTCAGCACTGACACAGAAGGCTCGTTTCGTATGTGACAATCTTCGCCATCTTTGGAGTATACGTGATAACAATCCAGCTATCGATCAAAAGGCATGTGTACTGCTCAGTAGTCCACTCCGTCCTCCTTTATGGCTGTGAGCAAGAGATGGCCATTGAGAGTGAAGGACATAAAAAGACTAGCTGTCTTTGATTATAGGTGCCTGCGTTCTATCTCCCATGTGAAAGGGTATAGTTGAGTGAGCAATATTGAGGTTAGGATTTAGTTGAGTGCTAGGTAAGGAGGAGAAGTCAATCGACAAGACTGTGAAGCTACATTGACTGGTATGGTTGGGATATGTGTTACGCATGCATCCCAGGGCCATCGATCGCCTTCCACTATGGTCAATGTTGGCTGATATAGGATTAGGTCGGAAAAGAGCTAGTGGTGGTCAAACGTGGCTTTATCATTCAATGAAGTTCAAAGCAGTTGGTTTAATCCATGTAGGAAGATGTAGACTTCTGTCTGGTTGGGGTCCTCGGGATGGTAAAAATCAATGAGACAGTTGATGATATGGCTCAAAATCGTTCTCAATGGCTAGTGCAGTTGCATCCACTCCTTTTGACTCATAATACTCAATAAAACTATATGGTTCTTCGATATTACTATTGTTTTCGCCTCATATCTCTGTTTACTGTCTTTATTTTGCGGTTCGTTTTACTTTCCTCTCTTGCTCTGTATACAAAGTGAAGTGTGGCGACTGGAAGTGCTGCATATCTGTGCAAAGTTCTATGTTAAAACCAGTCAGTCACCTCGCTAAGACTGTTAAACAGAGGAGATCGGGCCTGAGGCTAGCAACTCCATCACATAAAAAATAAATACCACTGGTACCGAAAACTTCAACCCTCTAGCTTGAAACCCTATGTTCCGATGGGAACGTGTAGGAATAAAATAAAAATAATCCCGCAGTTTTTGTATGTGTGTATTACAGTCATATCTGGCATAGGTGTTGTGCACTGACTCAACACACTTTGAACATTTTGATCATATATAACAGCAGAAAACAAGAGAATTTAGTAAGGAATTATTTATTTATTTATTTATCTGATGGTATTAGATGGTTGGAGGCAATCGGGCACAGGAAGCCTTGGACCTAGGTTTCGTACTAGTTGGCACTCGTCAGCAAGGCGTATCTGTGATGCAGGTTCGAATCTCAGAAGGGACATGAGTTCCTTCAAGGTTGCAGATACACCTTGCTGGATGACGAGTGCCAACTATCACGAAACCTAGGTCCTGGCAAGGCTTCTTGTGGCCGATTGCCTCCAACCATCTAATACCATCAAATTGATGTGCACCGTGATGGCGAGCTGGCTAGAATGGTGGCCACATTACAACCTGACTGATAGAATTCAGTCTACACCAATCAGAGGACTAGACGCATCACACTATTTACTAGTGTCAAATCAAAATATTGATTTATTTGTTGGCAACTCCATGTACATATAGTAATAAGCAACATAGCGTCCACCGCCGTATATTAGAATAATAATTTAATAATAATAATAATTTGCACATATCTCTTCAGCATTGTGCTTCTTTGTCCTCCAGGTTGTTTCACAAGCGTCTCATTCATTAAATCCAGCTTTCCGTTATTCGATGCTTTCGCAGATGCAATATATATTTATGTCTACATATATGTATATACTACTTATAAATCTGTCCAGTAGCACACGCTACGCACATACATGATTATATATAAGTAAGCGTTAAGTGGACAAAGGCTTGCAGATTTCGGACTGTCAAACAATAAATGTGGCTCATTAGAAATTGGTTTGAGGTAACTGAGTTCAGCGAGGCATCGGTGGCACAGCGGTTAGCATGCTCGCCAACTATGCACTTGGTCCGGGGTTCGATCCCCGGCCGATGCACTCCTTTATCTCACTGATATGTATCCACATATATATTTATGTGTGTGTGTGTGTATGTTGCTCTCTCTTTATGTTTGCTCGCTTAGTCTGTGACCATTTCACTTGTGTGAACTTGTCTCCTTTATTAATGTGTATTCTCCTTATATTATATTATATATAATATGAGTGTTTGTTGACAGTCCGTTGCTTAATGACATATATCCATATATGGTTGTTGCATGTCTGCTATATTCGCTATGTATATTTGGATCGACACTCCATTATAATTAGCCATTCATGTTAAGACTGTCCAATGATTTGTTCCCACGCTTTGTCTGGAACATTCATATATATTTCGCATACACAATTTGTGTGAACTACTTTACTTACTTACTTACACACTTACTTTGGTGTGATACCACTTATTGCGTCTCCTTGTGTTTGGAAAATAGAAGTATCATCGCAAACCTAGTGGTCTTCTGATTTCCGCCTTCTTGCGTCAGGACTATTAGTTTCTCGACCAGTCCATAACAATAATTTAGCGACGAGTACATAACAATTTGGCGACGGGGAAACTAGTACATAACACTTACCCAGTAATAAGATTGGTAAAGAGGGAAGGTTAGGCATGAGGCTAGCAACCCCATCCTGTAAAAATAAGCACTGCTAGAGAAACTTCAAGCCTCCAGCTTGAAGCTCTATGTTCCACTTGGAACGTGAAGGAAATAGAAAAAAGAAGTTCGGCGAGTATGTTAACTCCAATATTGCAAAATGTTAAGAGGGAAATAAAATTATCTGCTGGTTGAAAGAAAGACTACCATGTCAAACTGTCAAAGAATGGTAACTTAGGCCTCTGAAAGACCTGTTGCTGAATCATGCTTTCGCCCACCCCAAGTAAAATATTAAGTTGCGTCGTCACGGATATACTAGAAGATGCACTGGATGCATCACTCCGACCGGAACAAGCTGGAATCAGGAAAGACAAATCATTTACTGATCAAATTGAAACTCTATGCATCATCATCACAGAACAAAGCATTGAATGGCAATGAAATCTCTATTTCAACTTCATCGACTTTGAGAAGACTTTCGACAGCGTTGACAATGAAGTAGTTTGGAAGCTACTTCAACACTATGGCATGCAGTGCCCCAAATCGTTAACAACTTCATTCAACAGAGTTATGTGACAATACCACACGGCAGGTGATCCACAACGGGAAACTCAGCGAGGCGTTTGACGAGAATACAGGAGTTAGACAAGGCTGACTACTATCACCGATGATATTCCTAATTTTGGTCGACTGGATTATGCTTTGTGAACAAGACGATAGAAATACTTTGGAACGATAACAAAATTCTAGAAGATCTGGATTTCACGGATGATTTATGTCTAATGTTGATAAACTTGAAGACATACAGGCGAAAACTAACAAATTGTCAGAAGAGGCTGGCAGCGAAGACAGGACTCCAGGTGAACATAGAGAAGACGGAGGTGATGAAGATACCCACTGACCAACAATAACAACAACAGCCTAGCACCAATCACTATCGATGGAGGAGAACCAACCAAGCCCCCGTTGATCCAAGAATATGCAGAAGAAAATGTAGAGGAACAGACATACACTGAGGACACGCCTGAGTGACATGGATTGCAAGGCTGGCTTCCGAGTGGAAACTGTTTTAAAAGTGACAAGCTGGGGTTTTGAGGGTTACATGGGTGAAATAAAATCCTATGGGCAGTTGTGAGGTCTGCAAAGAAGTTGAAGAAGTGTAGGTGTGCTGTTGAAGCTGTACGCTTCACTTGGAACCCAAGTTTAGTTCAATCATTAGCCATTAAAATTACAGATCATAAACAAAATTTTATTGATAATATTATTAATATGCAAGTAGTTTTTTTAATGTAGTTATCAAGGAATTTCCAGTGTAATTTGAGAACATATTTTACTTTTACCGTTTTTCATGGAATCTCCCAGAGCAAATCCGCGCAGAA